CACGAACGAAGACGATAGGTCCGAATATGAAAGCTTGAGCGCGTGCGAGTCGGATCGCGAGCGAGTCTGATTATGAATGAATCTGCGCGCGATTGGTTCTATTCGCATGAATGCGTGCATGGATACGCCCAGTGTAAATGTATGTATACGACTGTGAACAGTTTGGGTCTGCGTGACTCTCGGTACTCGTGACTCTGAGCGTCGCCTCTGCAGGGGGCTTCCCTGGGAACCCCGACGGCAGCGCCCGCGCGCCGCGACGCCCATGTCGGCACGCCACACACCTGGTGTGCGGGACGCATGCGGACGGCAGCACTGGGGCCTTCGGTGGAGCTCCCTGTGGGGCCACGAAACGTGTGAGGGGTGTGCCGAAATGGGTGTGCGGGACGCATGCGGACGGCAGCCATGGGGCCTTCGGTGGAGCTCCCTATGGGGCCACGAAACGTGTGAGGGGTGTGCCGAAATGGGTGTGCGGGACGCATGCGGACGGCAGCACTGGGGCCTTCGGTGGAGCTCCCTGTGGGGCCACGAAACGTGTGAGGGGTGTGCCGAAATGGGTGTGCGGGACGCATGCGGACGGCAGCACTGGGGCCTTCGGTGGAGCTCCCTATGGGGCCACGAAACGTGTGAGGGGTGTGCCGAAATGGGTGTGCGGGACGCATGCGGACGGCAGCACTGGGGCCTTCGGTGGAGCTCCCTGTGGGGCCACGAAACGTGTGAGGGGTGTGCCGAAATGGGTGTGCGGGACGCATGCGGACGGCAGCATGGGGCCTTCGGTGGAGCTCCCTATGGGGCCACGAAACGTGTGAGGGGTGTGCCGAAATGGGTGTGCGGGACGCATGCGGACGGCAGCACTGGGGCCTTCGGTGGAGCTCCCTGTGGGGCCACGAAACGTGTGAGGGGTGTGCCGAAATGGGTGTGCGGGACGCATGCGGACGGCAGCCATGGGGCCTTCGGTGGAGCTCCCTATGGGGCCACGAACGTGTGAGGGGTGTGCCGAAATGGGTGTGCGGGACGCATGCGGACGGCAGCACTGGGGCCTTCGGTGGAGCTCCCTGTGGGGCCACGAAACGTGTGAGGGGTGTGCCGAAATGGGTGTGCGGGACGCATGCGGACGGCAGCCATGGGGCCTTCGGTGGAGCTCCCTGTGGGGCCACGAAACGTGTGAGGGGTGTGCCGAAATGGGTGTGCGGGACGCATGCGGACGGCAGCACTGGGGCCTTCGGTGGAGCTCCCTGTGGGGCCACGAAACGTGTGAGGGGTGTGCCGAAATGGGTGTGCGGGACGCATGCGGACGGCAGCCATGGGGCCTTCGGTGGAGCTCCCTATGGGGCCACGAAACGTGTGAGGGGTGTGCCGAAATGGGTGTGCGGGACGCATGCGGACGGCAGCACTGGGGCCTTCGGTGGAGCTCCCTGTGGGGCCACGAAACGTGTGAGGGGTGTGCCGAATGGGTGTGCGGGACGCATGTGGGGCCTTCGGTGGAGCTCCCTATGGGGACCTGTCGGCATGCGGCAGCCATGGGGCCTTCGGTGGAGCTCCCTATGGGGCCACGAAACGTGTGAGGGGTGTGCCGAAATGGGTGTGCGGGACGCATGCGGACGGCAGCACTGGGGCCTTCGGTGGAGCTCCCTGTGGGGCCACGAAACGTGTGAGGGGTGTGCCGAAATGGGTGTGCGGGACGCATGCGGACGGCAGCCATGGGGCCTTCGGTGGAGTGGGGCCACGAAACGTGTGAGCCCATGCTTCGGTGGAGCTCCCTATGGGGCCACGAAACGTGTGAGGGGTGTGCCGAAATGGGTGTGCGGGACGCATGCGGACGGCAGCACTGGGGCCTTCGGTGGAGCTCCCTATGGGGCCACGAAACGTGTGAGGGGTGTGCCGAAATGGGTGTGCGGGACGCATGCGGACGGCAGCCATGGGGCCTTCGGTGGAGCTCCCTATGGGGCCACGAAACGTGTGAGGGGTGTGCCGAAATGGGGTAGGGGACGCATGCGGGCGGCAGCCCTCGGGCCTTCGGTGGAGCTCCCTATGGGGCCACGAAACGTGTGAGGGGTGTGCCGAAGTGGGTGATGACGATGACGATGACGACGATGACAATGACGATGATGATGATGATGATGATGATGATGATGATGATGATGATGATGATGATGATGATGATGATGATGATGATGATGATGATGATGATGATGATGATGATGATGATGATGATGATGATGATGATGATGATGATGATGATGATGATGATGATGATGATGATGATGATGATGATGATGATGATGATGATGATGATGATGATGATGATGATGATGATGATGATGATGATGGGAGGAGGGAGGAGGGGGAGGAGAGAGGAGGAGGAGGAGGTGGGACGCGGGGCGCTGTCTCTTCAAAACGAGGACCCAACACCACAGGATGGTTGGGAAAAAAATGCCCCCACCAGGTTGCACGTGCGTGGGTTGGCGCCTTCGGCGGCTTCCTCCTTGTGGCCTGGCCCTCACTAATTATCTGGCATTGCGCCCCTGTGCCTGTGTTGAACATGCCCTCTGGACTTTTCCTTGCGGGCCGCCGAACAAAACAAAAGTGCCTCCACCAGCCCATCCAGAAACGATGTCCAGGCAAGTTGAAGAGATCAGGGAAGTGGGGGAGCAACGAGAGGGACAGCCGATCCGTGCAAACGATGAGGCGGAAGAGGAGGCCAGATGGATAGATGAGGGGGCGGCGAGGAACCGAGCAAAGGAGGGATGAGGAGAATGATGACGCTGGGTGGATGGTTGAATGCCGTTCGGATGCCTCTTGGAAGCCTTTTGGAAGCCTCGTCGGACGTCTTGGGGGTCTCTTGGCGGTCAATGGGGGCTCTTGGCCGTCTTGGGTGCTTCGGGGGGGCCTCTTGAGGCCGCTTGGGATCCTCTTGGGGGGCTCTTGGGGGCCTGTTGGAGGCCTCTTGGGGCCTCTTGGGGGTCTCTTGGAGCTTCATGGCGGCCTCTTGGAGCCTCTTGGAGGCCTCTTGGAACCATCCTGGGAGCCTCTTGGAGCCTCTTGGAGGCTTCTTGGGGCCTCATGGCGGCCTCTTGGGGCCTCTTGGAGGCGTTTGGGGAGCCTCTTGGGGCCTCCTGGGCGCCTCTTGGGGCCATTTTGGAGGAGATCGATCAAAGAAGAGGTGGGGTTAATTAGCCTTGCCCCCCAAGAGGCCAAAATAGAGCCAAAACCATAGTAAAACCTATGATTGTGGCTTCCTCGCCGAGGCCGTTTAGGACGCTCTAAGTGCCAGCGGCCCCCCCCGTCCAAGTCCAGGGGAGGGGGTTAGGGGGAGGGGTAAACCCCTCCCCGAAGGGGAAGAAGGAGGGGTGGAAGAGGAAATTCCCTATACCACCTACGCCGAGAGGGCTGGTGGGATTCAGAGAGGCGGGAGGTTATCAGGATCGATGCGTTCCAAGAGCTCTAAGATCGTCAGGCAGAAGAAGGGAAGCCGTGCACGTGAGAGGTGCATTGGCAAAGTGGCGAGAATGTGCGACAGAGAAACGCGCACACTAACACTAAATGGACGTTTGCATGGTGTCGCAATGCCTGCGGAAAGACACAACTTCGCCGATTGAATTGTGTTGCGCAAAAGAGGGTCGGAGGTGCCTCCATACCCCTGGCAGCTGCGCAGGCGTGTCGGTAAATCTCTTGCAAGACATAGGGTGTCCCAGATTTCCCAGTTTTCCCCACGGGCTGCAGAAATGTGGGCCGCTTGGTCGACGAACAAAGAAAGGCACGACCATAATTTCGTGAAGCTCCGCGCGGATGGATTTTCTGGATCGGCGCTGGGGCACCCCTCTGGCGGCGCTTCTGGCGCCGCCTCTGGCGCGCGGAGCGCGCCAGGGAGGGGGGTCCAGAGCCCATCTAAGAAATCTGAGCGAACCTTTCACAATGTATGTTTCACAGTGTTTTCTCAAACATGCTCTAGCACAACGGTTCTTACCTGGTCATCAGAGCCGTGTTATCCGAGACCTCTGCCGGCTTTGTTGATGTTGTTGTTGTTTATGTCGTCGCTCCTGTTCATGTGGTTGTAATGTTCTTGCTTTTATTGTTGAAATGACTTTGCTGATGAGGTTGCCGCTGATGTGGCCATCGCTTGTGGTTGAAAGGTTGTGTTCGTATAGTTTATGCTGGCCCTCGAGCCTCTCCCGGCGGGCTGGATGGCTTTGCCGGCTCTGTGGGCCAGCTGTGGGCCAGGTGCTTTTGGCCCTCGAAAATGGCCGACCTGACAGGGATGGCGCTCCTCCTGGTGCGACGGAGGCCTTTGCCGGCTCTGTGGGCCAGCTGTGGGCCGGGCGCATTGGCTCTCGAAGAGTGGCGACCCTCACGAGGATGCCGCGCTAGCGGGCCGGAGTCGTCTGCCGGCTCTGTGGGCCAGCTGTGGGCCGGGCGCATCGGCCCTCGGAAAGTGGTTCCCCTCATGAGGATGGCACTCATCCCGGCGGGATGGATGGCTCTGCCGGCTGTGGGCCAACTGCGGCCTAGGCGGGGGCAAGCGCCTTGGCCGCCAGCCTTCGAGCAACACATAAACACATATGTTGGGTCGGCGTTGGGGTAATTGTCCTTCTACGGAGGGGGCTGTCGGAGGTTGATGGGACTCGATTGGCGAATTGTTTTTTTTCTGTTCTCGAGACGGCTTTGCCGCCGCAGTTGATGCGGGCCTGCGTCCGCCGTATCTAGTGCCAGTTCGTTTTCACGCAGGGGGGTTTTGCTAAATGGGGTGCTGTCCACCCCTGGGCCACGGTGAGGAGGGTTTGACGGGGGCTCTGCTTTGGAGGGGAAAGAGGCGCAGTCGAAGTTGCTGCCGTTGTCCGTCGTCGTCCGTCGTCTTCGCCTGTCGCCACCATTGTCGTTGTCATCGTCGTCGCCGCCGCCGCCGTCGTCGTCGTCGGCGTCGTCGTCGCCGTCGTCCTTGCAGTCGTCGTGGTCGTCGTCGTCGTCGTCGTCGTCGTCGGCGGCGGCGGCGGCGGCGGCGGGAGGAGCTTAGCTCCAAGATCGAGGGCCCGAACGACAAGCACTGCTACCGGGCCTTCTGCGAGCTCACGAAGCCCAACGGCACGAAGGTGTCGGCGGCGGGCCCTTGGCAGGGAGACAGGCGCGCGGGGAACGGGGGGAAAGGAGAAGGGGGGATACTTGTTGGGGGAGCCTTTAAGCGGACGCCTCCTGTCTTCATCGCTCCGACGACGGCAACGACCCGACGACGACCCTCGTGGGCCCACGGGGAGGGTCGGGGCCCCTTGAGGCCGTCGGCTGCGCGTCAAGGAGTGACCCTTCGCGCCAGTGATCTTCGGTGCTGGCTCACAGGGGTCCGCGCAGCACTGGCCTGTGCGCTGGGGTATGGCCCCTCCCAGCGGCCCCCTGACGCCGTCGGAGAGGCTTGATCTATTCACCACGTCATTTGGTTGGCCACGCAGCCACCCACACATTTTGGCGAGGGGATTTGGTGCGTAGACGAGTGGACCCTCCGGCACCCCATCGCTTGGGAATTTGGGGCGTTTATGCAGCGAGATCCCTGACCGACCAGGCGGCGTGGTGCATGCCGCGAGCCCCTCCCAAGCCGCGCACAAAAGGCTGCCCCCTTTGCCCCAGGGTGCGGGGTCACCTCTTGCGCGTACGCTGCCGAGGCGGGGGCTAGACTGGAGGGCCTCAGAGAGCGGCGGTGCCGAAGCATCACCGAAGAGGCGCGCCCTGGTCTTGCGAGACAGCGCTGTAACTCAGGGCCCCCCTCCAGGCTCACTCCTGTTCCATCCTCGAAGAGGGGCAGAGGTGGACTGAGGCGCGTGGATTCGCGAAAGGCCCCGCTTCGGTGCAGAATCGGCGCGCTCCCTTTCCAAATCCACGCTGCTCTGGCCTCATGTTTCGGGGGGTACCTTTCCCGATTCGTGGATCTTGCGCCCGCGCTATCTTGTCTGAGCCTGTGCTCTGGGCACGCTGCAGCACCGCTAAACGATGTTTTGTTTAACCGGACCTGCAAGGTGGACCCTTTCCCTAAACCGTGCGTCCGTGCGGATCGTCGGTGCGTCCGTTTCCTTCGTCGTCGTCGGCGTCTCCATGGCCGTGGTGCGTGTTGCTGTGCGCGGGCCTTGTTTCCCATCTGCAGTGACCTCCACCACCGCGCGATCTTGCGCCCGCTCTCTAGATTCACGGATCCGTCATTCACGTTGGTGTGCGCCCGTTGTCCGGAGGGAGGAGGAGGAGGAGGGGCAGAAGTCGGCGGCGCCAGAAGTGGAAAAGAGGGAGGATGTTGAAGGGAGGCAGGAGGCATTCGAACGAGGGAGACGGGTTGTTTTTGTTTTGCGACGGCTTGGCGTTGAGCGAACGCGCGGATTGGAAAGGGCGGAGGGGCGGAGGGAAAGAGGACGCGGAGGAGGAGGAGGAGGGGGAGGAGAAACATGCATAGTAGGTGCAGACCGTTTCCTCACCAGGTTTTTCCCTTGGTTGTCCCCCCCATCCCCGCCCTCCCCCTTTTCGCCACCCCACCCATCTTCCCCGCCCCCCCTTGCCGTTCCGTAACGATTTTGGCTCAAGACGATGAGTTCCACAGTGGACCAATGGGAGACCGCTGACCGGCGGCAGCTTTCACGTTTCGGTCAGTTCGCCCCATTGGTATTTCGCGCACACCGCAGTATTTCGGAGCATGGCGCCCTGGCAAGAAATGAGGCAACTGGCAGTCAGGGCGTTTTGGAGGGGGCAGCCTTTGTCTGGCAGGATTCAGAGCGGCCCACATGGCGTTGCAGTGTCTGCGGGTGCTTCAAGAACATGCAGCACCACTGCCTCGCACGGAACACAGGGGGTTCACCAAGTGGACGTGTAGGCCTTCCCTGAAATCTAGAGCATCCAGAAGCCAGCAGAAAAGATGGGCCACCACACTGTAGCCAAACAGTGCAAATAACCCGACCATCCTAAGCCTGACGGGCAGCAGTTGGTCACCCAACCAGACAACAACGAACGCAAGCTGGTTGAGAAGCTCGGTGAGGCCTTCAACACGTTCGAGAAGTGGAAAATCGTAGTGGAGAGAGAGCACAAGGGGTGGCTCCAGCAGCTCAAGGGCCAGCCAGACGACTCCTCCCGCCAATTTGGAGGAGGCCACAGCGGCAGTGGTTCCCGATGTGTCCTCTGAGTTCGTCGTCGGCACCATCAATGCCAACGCGTGGCCACGCGCCAGAGACACGATGCCTTGGTTCGATAAGAAGTCCGGGATGCCGCGCGCCCTGCTTATCCAGGATACAGTCCTAGACACCAGTGCTCAAGCAGGCGCGCATCAGCGGTCCACGTGCTCGATGAAATTGGCGTTGGGAACGGCAGCGCGCGCGGGAGATGCGACGAGGGCTCTATCTGGCGGAGCGTGCACTCGCACGGCGTTTGGCCTGGGAGCGGCGGCCACGCTTCCAGCGGTGCCCGCAGTGCTCCAGTGCAGGATGGTTATCCAGCTCCTCGCGCTCGGCCCTCAGTCGTGCCTGTTCGCGGGCTCTGTCCACGGCCGCGTCAGCTCGGGGGCCAGGGGCGGCGACCTTGAGACTTGAACTGCTCGAGTTCCTAAGTTAGCTCTTGGGATCCCGGGAAAGCCCGAGGAGGCGATGGGGGCAGGATGGCTTGATCTAGCACGTGTCACGGCGTCTTCGTTGGGCCCGACAGCCTGCAGTTGACATGGATCCGACAACTTCGTTGTTTCGCAGGCTTTGGATGCCCCCCCCCCCGATAGATGCGAAGGCAACCTCGGAGCCCCCGTTCGCCTCTGACTGCTGCGCCGCGTGCGCGATCGAGGGTGCCCGTCGAGACCCCTTCGCGCGAGTGGGGTTTCCGCCCAGGTTGCCCCCTCGGCGAAGCAGGAGGAAAACCTGAAAACGAAGGGAAAGGGCCATCCATGGGGCAATCAATCTCTGAGACCACGAGCTTACTCCTCGAGTGACCGTTGGGGGTCCTCGGGCAGGTGGTCAGACATTCGCTCGCAGCGACTGGTTTGTCCTGGTCGGGCGGTTTGAAATCTGGAGGTAGTTGTAGGTGGTTCTAATTCGGCGCGCCCGCGTGGGATGTCATTGCGAAGAAGAGCCTGGTCGACTGCGCCGAGGGCGCGTTTGCGTGGCGCGACGAGACGGGCGCCCGCAAGTGAGTGTTCACGTTGCGAACGTTGGACAACCGTGCCGCGTGGTTGGCGCCGCCTGGGCCCATGGCCAGCGGACCTTGGCTTCGTCGGTGGCTGTTCCAGTTCATCGATGACGTCGACCTGCGCGCCCCTTGCGTCGGAATCGCGCGCCCTGCGCGGCGCGGGCGCGGTCGAATGGACAGGCCTTGCCCCGCGCGGCGGGCCCCCCCCCCCCGATGGTTCCGAGAGGCGCTGTCCGAGGAGGAGGTCGACGCGAGGCGCGCGCTCTCGGCGCTCAGGCGCGCAGCAGGGCGCGGAGAGGGTTCGGGGGGTCGGCCGCGCAGGACTCGGCCGAGCTCGCGCGCGCCATCTGTCGCCCCGAACGATTCGAATAGCCATTTGCCCGCGACGGGGGGTCCAGGCATGGTCCGACGGGGGCCGCAGCCGTCGCGGCGGCGCTGGAGGGGCGGGGGACTTATTGGGTCGTCTCCGAGCGCGCGGAAGAGGCCCGCCCCTTGGAGTGGAGATGCGAGTGGGCTCTCAGCCCCATCACCTACCAGCAGACCGCGGGCGTTGCCGAGCCGTCCGGTGGCCCAACGGGGCTCGGTTGGGGCAACTTCTACGTGGGCTAGCCGGTTCCTTCGGCGAGCTCTTCGTGTCGCGGCTTGCCCGGAGCGGGGCCCGCCTGCGAGGGCATCTGTCTGACCGTCGCCGCGCCCCCGCCGAAGGCGGGCGGGGTCTCGCGCCCGTCGCAGCGCGGCGCCAGCGTGGGCGCCAGCTGCTTCGCGGGAACGGGCGCGGCCTCCAGCTGCGACGCAGCGGCCGGCGCCGGGAGCAGCGCGACGACGGCCGCGACTGCGTTCTACGACGCCGGCAAGTTCCGCTGGGACCTTGGCCGCCAGGAGCTGCGACGTGCTGCTGTTAGTTTGACGGTGCTCCCCTTCGAGCGCCGCGCCGTCTGCGCCGCGCGTCGCGAAGGGCCGGGTGGGGCGGGGGGCGCTGGCGGGCAGGGCGCGCCCGACGGCGTCGTCGTCGCTGGGCGCAGGCCGCGGGCGTCGCCAGGGGCTGACCCTGTCCTTCCCGCGGCGCATCGCCGTTGCAGGGGTGAGCGCTGTCGACTGCTGGCCGCGCGCGCCCCGGGAGTTTCTCAGACGGCGATCGGGCTCGCTGCGCGGACCTTGGAGATCGTCGCCTCGGAGCACCGACGCAAGACGATGCCCGTTGACTGGGGCCAGGCGCGTTTCATAGTGTCGGGGCACTGCCTGCCGGAGCAGGCGGCGCAGGATGCGCCGACCGACTGTGCTTTCCCTTCGGCGTGCGGCGTGCGCGGCCAGGCCAGCCAACGCCGCGCCCCCTGGCATTTGGGCGCCAGGGCCTTCGCCTGGAGACTTCTTTCTTATTTCGCGCGCAATATCATATTGGAAGCACATTGCGGGCCAGTCGTCGGAGCAGGGGTGGCGCTGGCGGGCCGCAGATAACCCGGAGAAGCTTTTAAGATCCCCCCCCCCCCCCCCATCCAGCGCAACGATAGCCCTTCCGCGCCCTGGAAGCGTCACCCCCGCACCAGGAGGGGGGTCGTCCTGTGTTTCCTCAGCTTTTCTTCGGTGGCCTTGGCTTCTCTCTTGTTTTCCTAACTTGTCCTTGGTTGGCTGTCTTAGCTTTTCATGTGTTTTCTCAGGTTGTCAGCGGTTCTTTTTTTCTGAGGTTGTCCTAAGTGGTGTCAGTTGTTTCATTGGTTGTCTCAGCCTTTCTTTTGTTTTCCTAGTTTTCGTTGGCTGTCTTAGCTTTTTATTTTTTCTCAGCTTTTTCTTGGTTGTCTTAGCTTTCCCGTGGTTTTCTTGGCCGTTCAATGGTTTTTTCCTGGTTCAACTATATTCAGATTCATCCATATTTCAATTTGCGCTGTGACCCATGAGCGCTCTGCCTCGGGGATTTTTTTGGGGGGGCCTGCCGGGTGCTAAGATAGCGCCACGGTGCGGGGCGGGGGCGATGTCCTGGGGTGGGCCACCCGCTGCGACGGCCGAAACAAATCAATTCCCCAAAGGGGGGTGTAATACAAAATCATCGGCAAATTCTCGCATGGAATTCTGCGCATTCCTCGGAATATTCGTACTTCCTGAGACATTCTTCCGATTTTGCCGGTACTCCCTCACATTTCTCGAGCCAGTCCCTGGCTAGACTTTCCATAGCTTGCCCTCGGATTTCCAAGGAAATTCTAGGGATCCCTAACATGTCCGAGGATACCACAGACTCACAGAACTTCTTACAATCCTTGGCATTTTCTTAGCATTGCTTAGGACATGCGCATCATTCCTTAGGATCTGCCGCTGCATTTCCTTTGCATTCCTTGGCAGTTCCTTGGCATTTCCTTAGACTTTCTTACTTTCCTTTGAAATTTCCAGCATTCCCTAGGATGCCGCAGGGATCTCGACCCAGATTCCTTGGGATCCCCAGCATTCCTCAGCATTCCCAAAGAATTCCTAGCATTCTTCAGGATTCTTAGCATTTCCTGGCGTCCCCAGCATTCCTCGGGAATTCGTAGCATTCCGCAGAATTCTCTAAGGATCCCATCCAGATCCGGAGCATTCCCTGGGAACCAGAGAGACCTTAGCAAAATCCTTGACATTTCTTGCGAATTTCTTTCTTGGCCCCATTTGGGCCGCCGCGGATTTTTCTGTCTGTTGCGCTTCTGCGCGCGGTGCTAAAAATATCGTTCGGCGGAAATGGCCCCGCCGAAGATCGAATAACATTGTGGTGCTAAGATAACGCCGGGGGGGTTCTTAAAAGCTTCTTCGGGTTATGATGGCGCGCGCAATGCGCAGGGGCCAGAATCGCCGCGCGTTTTTGGAGGTCGCAACGTCAGTTCTGTAGCGCGCGCCCCTACCATGGCCAAAAATAGTGGTGGCACCGTTCCCCGGGCGAGATCCCGAGACAACCGGCGCCAGGTTTATGGCGGCGGGCAGACGTGTATTCGGATCGGGCTTTGCTCGCGATGAACGTTGTTGTTTGCGTCGTCGGGGGCGTCGTCGGCTTTCACGACGCTGGCTAGACCGGAGAGGGACGGGCGATGATGAATTTGTTGCCCAGGACAGCGTGCCAGGACGCGGAGCTGAAACGCCACATTCAAGTTCTTTCTCCGCCGACGCGCGCGGGAACGTTGGCCCCGGAGCGGTGCGCCTCGCCAGACGAGCTGCCAGAGCACGTGTCGGACCGGCAAGGGGGCGCGGCTGGCGCGCCGGGGTGAAGCGCCGGGCTGCAGGTGGAACGACCGCAGCCCAGGGTGATTGGGATCAGCGGCGTGACTAAGGTCATCAATCGTTTCTCTGGATACCGTCCTCAGAAGTCTGTGGGTTAGCCCAGGATGATCGCGATCCGGCCCGCGATGCTGCTGCGTGCCCTCGCGCGCGCGACCACTTGCAGGGGTTGGGGGCATTTGTTGCTGGGCCGAGCTCGGACGCATTCCATTGGTTCTTCTCGGTGGGCCTGAATGCGATGCGCATGCGTGGCATCGCGCAATTGTAATGGGATTGCACGGAGGGGGCGGGCATCGCCAGGCCACCAATCTAGCAGGATCTAAAGGCCGTTGCGTGGAGCATTTCGTGGCAGCAGTGGGCGAGGCTTACGACGCGAACTTGTTTACCCCGCCCCCATGCCTCCTCAGGCCATTGTTTTTTCCTGATCAGGCGAAGGGGGGATGCAGCACTGGCAGCTCTAGCTACGAGTTGGAGGATCAGGCAGGCAGGCTGGACACCTGCATTCTTTCTGTCACGCTATGGTTAGCGCCTTCGGGAGCTCGGATTCGGTGGAGGTCGACGAGACTGTCTGGACCTCCGCCGCGGAGCACGACCAGGAGATGCCTGCAGAGGCGTCGGCATTCGGTGGTCAGTCTGGGGGCGGTGGAGGCCTGCTGCTTATCGAGCCAAGGGCAGGCAACGCTGCGGGGGGCTCGTTTGCGGTCGGGGCGTTTGTGGAAAAGCTCGCGCGCCCCACCCTTCAGCGGCAGTGTGGCCAGCTGGGGGCAGACCCCAATCCGGCCATCTTCGTTTGTGCTGGGGGCTGCTAAGGGCGGATCTCTTGTTGTAGAAGTGCGCCGATGGCATTGGCAAGTGCGTTATCGCGAATCCGGAGATGCCCTTTGCATGGCTACCTCTAAGCCAATTGGCGCTGACCAAAGCTTCAATCAACATGAACAGTCGCGCGGTAATCGGCGAAGTGCAACGCCACAGGCATGCTTCCTGCGCATGTCGCGCAAGGGCTACATGCGCATGCAAAGGTTATAGGCAATTGGTTTTCGCGGCGCCACGAGGACGTTGAAGTTTAATTTGGTGGGCGGGTTCAGAATGAAGCACGGCACCTCGGGCCGTATTTGTCGATGGGGGGTCGGCGCGATGCGGGGTGCATTTTCCCTTTTCGGCTGGCTGGGGAGGGAGGGTCGCCTCTCCAGGAGGCGCGCGGTGCCTTGGCGTACAGTGGCGGTGGAAATGCAGCCTCTTCACCGGCTTCGTTCACAAAATCTCGCCCCTCAGCTGTCTCGAGAACGACGTGCTTTCCACGTTCGACACTGACATTTTAAACAGCCGTCCGGCCAGATAGGGGCCGGCGGCAATGGGGGGGGGGGCGACAGACCGCGCTGGGCCATGCGGGAAGACGCTCAGTAACCCACAGCTGATGGCACGTGAAAGGCTGCCTCTCCTTACGGAAGCTGAGGTGCTCGTGCGCAGGGTTCAGTTGAAGCAGTGCTAGAGTAGGTCTCGCGAGGCTCACGGGCAGGCGCATCGCCCGCAGTTCGGCTGCGCTGGCGCGGGCTGGCTCAGGCCGCAGATCGTCGGAGGTCAACCATCCCAGCGGGCGTCTTCTTGGGCCCGACGGGTGGAGTCCGACCTGGGTGCAGTGTGCCAGCGTCTACCACATGATTGCATATGGCGCATAGCGGAGGGCGCACGCGGCTTCCAGTTGCTCAATCCGCCCCCTGTGCCGTGGACACTGCGTTGCGAGAGGCTCTCGTTCAATGGCGCCACTGCTTGCGCCTTCCTACGATTGCCCTGTCTGTGAGCATGATGGAGTCTGACGCCGTTGCAGCGCCAACCGTGGGGTCGGCCTGATGCCGGGGGATCTGATGGCCGGCCAGAAAGCGGCACCATCGCCCTGGTTCAAGGGCGCGGAGGAGATGGCCGACGCCTCTCCAGTCGGAGCCGCAGGGGCCGCCAAGGAGGCCGAAAGGACGCAGGCAAGGGCGATCATATACGCAAGGTCATGAACGCCGCAGCTCGTCTGGTCCTCAGCATCGCCAGGGAGGTCGCGGATCTTCCCGTGGCGATTCACCTGCGGTGCGTCCTCGGCACTCCGCCGGGGTATCGGATGGTCGGCCAGACCGCGGCACCATCGCCCTGGGTGCGGAGGAGATGACCGACGCCACTCCAGTCGGAGCCGCAGGGGCCGCCAAGGAGGCCGAAAGGACGCAGGCGAGGGCGAGAGTATCGGCGAGGTCATGAACGCCGCAGCTCGTCTGGTCCTCAGCATCGCCAGGGAGGTTGCGGATCTTTCCTTGGCGATTTACCAGCGGTTCGTCCTCGGCACTGGGCAGGGTCTCGCGGCGGCGCTCGCGGCCGGCAAGGCGCGCGACGAGGAACCCGAGAAGCTGCGCACCAAGACGCAGAAGGGCGAGACACTCAATCATCATGCTCGGGGCCTCCACATCTCTGCATCCCGCTGGCGGCGCGCCACTACGGAGCAACGAAAGAGGGTTCCAGGGCGCCACTGGGAACAGGAGAAGAAGAAACCGAGGAAGCACGAAATATGACACATGGTAACTTGCACAGCGCCCACATATGAATAATGAGTCAGATAAGCAGATGGCGACGGTAATTCTGAAATGCGACGGGGTTGCGGAGCTCGTCGCGGCGCTGGGCCCGATGATCGAGGAACGCTGCGTCTTGGAGTGCAGGTTTCCATTTGTAGGGGCCGCGCCGAGGGGCCCGTTGGAACGGGACTTGTGGAAATCTCTCGGGAAGAAGTGATGGGCAGCATGAGGAGCCGAGCAGCGCAGCAGATGCAGATCACTGAACGTTCAGAAGCAGTCGTATTCCAGGGCATGGCTCCATTGCCTCTGCTGGAATATCGCGAGGGGCATTCCTGGCAAGCCAGTCAAAACAGGCCCGTTGCTCCTGCTTCTGGTCTGCACCGCAGCCGGAGCAGTGGCCGAATAATGGTCGTCGTGGGAGGGGCTGGTCGTCGCGGGGTCGGTCGTTGGAGGGTGGGTTGTATCGGGGGCCTGTATGGGGCCGCGTGCCTCCCAAGTGTCCCGATCGGTAAGTGCTGTCCTGTGTTGTGGGCGACAGTGGCTGCATAGTTGACTCGGAGCTCATCACGCGGGCAGTTCGTCTGTGACTCCCCCTCCACCGCACAGCTGTACTGTGAAGAAATGCGTCTAGCAGAGCATCGGACAGCACGGGCTCCATGAACTGGTCTAGGTCTTGGTCCCCCCGCTCCTCCTCCCTCCTCGTCGGCCCCTTGTGCTCGTTTTCCATAATCCCTCTCCTCCCCCTGTTCCGTTCCTTCCGCGTCCTCCCTCCGCCTTCGAGAAGCAGTGCCGTCTCATGGGTCAGGCGCTCGGCGCAGCGCGACGAGGACGATCTGAAGAAGGCCTTCGAGAAGGGCGGCCAGGAGGGCGTCTCCCCCTTTCCCAGGGTGCAATTTCGTTCCAATCCGATGTCGATTGCAGACGGCCCGACCCGATTCGTGCCCGATGTTCCGGCGATTCGATGTGGGCCCGATGTTTGTACGGCGCTGTCGTGCACTACGGCGCAGCCGATCCGAGTCGATATCGACTCCGTGCCGACGCGGCGCGATCCGACGCACATCCCGATCCGATCCTGTTTCCCGATTCGACGCGGAATGATCCGTGGATGAGGGAGGGGAAATGAAGGATTGCGTGCTTGGGGCCGCGCGCCACTCCTTTGCAGTTTTCCGAGCCTCAGGGCAGATTCGGCCCCGATCCCAGGCGGATGGTATTTGGTCGTGATGTTTGGTGACGCGATTTTTCCGCGTCGGATCCCCTGGGCGAGGTTCAGACACCTCCCAGATGCAGGATCGACCTCCCTTCTCGCGCTTTACCCGTTCAGACCCCCGTCGGACCGAGAGACTGTGTTGTTAATGCGTCCGCCCTCCCCCCCTTCCCTCAGCTAACCTGACCTGGCCGGTCGCGCAGGTCCGAAGCGCGCAGTTCTGGTGCGTGCGGGCATGCGTGGGACTGCCCAAAGCGAAAAGGTTAGGTGATTGGCTTGCACCTCTCCCCCCCGCTCACCTGATAACTTGGGTTATGACCGAAAAATAGAAAACGGTCTCTCTAGGCCTCCTAGATGGGGTCGGAGTAAGTGGGGTCGAAGGATCGCGCCGCATCGCCGATGCATCTACGATGCGGCTCGATGTGGAACCCGTGTTTCCCCACGCCGACGTCGCCGATGCATCGGCGATGCGGCGCGATGTGGAGCCCGTGTTTCCCCACGCCGACGTCGCAGAGCATCGGCGATGCGGCGCGACCCTTCGACCCTATCTACTCGGACCCCGTCCAGGAGGCCTCTAGTCTCTGAGCAGCTCACGACTGTCAGATGTATCTCAAGCTTGGGTCCGCTGAGGCCTTCTCCTCCGGGCCCCCGGGGGGCCCGCAGAAGACCACGGTGGGTGCCCAGTCCGTGCGGGTGCTTTGGTCGAGGGAGGTGCGGTGCCTCTCTAGGCTGTGGCAGCAATCAGGGCGTCGGCGGTCTTGGCCCTCCCTTGTCCTCCGCGAGATGCGGGGGAGGGGCGGGGGAGGGTGGAGGGGGAGGGTGACTAGCGTCGATTAGCGTCCATTTCGCGCCACGTCGAGACGACGACGAAGCCGGCGGGGTCGGCGGCGTCGTCGGCGTCAGTGGTGGTGACGGCGGCAGTCACCAGAGGTCCACAGAGGCCAATCAGAGGCTGTTGCTCCTTATCTCCCTGTTCCTGCACTTCCTCGTCACTCCCCCCTTTCTTTTGGGGGGGAGCTCTCGATCCTAGATCCTCGCTCTCCCCGTGACCGAAACCCATTCAACATCGATCCAGTGTCACCTGCCTGCTCCTCCCTGCCACGGCCCTGTCGATATTCGACCCTCGATCCTCCAAACACCCCCATCATCTGCATCCTCTTCCTTGGGGGCCGTCTTTGGGCCCTCCTGCGCCGGCTTGGGCGCCTCTAGGGCCGTCTGGTGGTCCTCCAGGGCCGTCTTGCGACACTCTTGGGGGTCTCTGGGGCCGTAATGGGGCTATCTTTGGGCCTCGTGGGCCGTCTTGGAGCGTCGGGCAGCCGACAGGCGTAAGTCAGTGAACCTCTCTCTTGGGGACCGTCTTGGAGCGTCGGGCAGCCGACAAGCGGAATTCCCTCAACAACCTAGGGTAAGTCAGTGAATTCTGTCTCTTGGGGACCTTTTGGCTTATAGATGGTATTGCAACCATGTGCACGCATGTACACATGTGTGCATACGTACAGATACACAAGCCAAAACTTGATCATCGATACTCGATCCTCGACCGACGACCTCCGGGCCTCCCCCGTCTTCCTTCTTCTCCTCACCTGTCCTTCCCTCCTTCTCCTCCTCCTTCTCGACCTCTTTGTTTTTCCTCTTCCTCCTCCTTCTCCTCCTCCTCTCCTCTTCTCCTCCTCCTCCTCCTCCTCCTCCTCCTCCTCCTCCTCCAGGCTGTCCTCCTTGTCCAGGCTTTCGTTCTCCTCCTTCTCGCCCTCCCCCCCCCTCGTCCTAATCCTTCTATTCCTCCCTCATCAGTCCTGCTCCTCCTCCTCAACCCTTGTGCCTCGTCGGCCTTAATCTCGATCGGTCCTCGACCCTCGACCGACTGCCCTCTTCGGCTGACTCGCCAGCGCCGTTGTCCAGTCTCTCACCAACACACCATTTGTCCGATTCTGGCGGGCTCATGATGAGCCGTTTCCAGAGCGATTCGGAACGCTTTGGAGTGCTCTGGAGCGGCTGCGGCGCCTGATGCATCCTCCAGAATCGCCAGATCTCGGAGATCCCCGATTTGTCGCGGTCCGATGTTGCTGGTCCCGAACTCATTTTGTTGATCTTCCGGGCGTGGTTCGTCCTCCTCTCGATCCCTCAGTCCCTCAGTTGCATGTCCGCGACGGCTGCTTTGCCACAACATATAGAAGGACCAACCCAGCTTTGAGGACCCTTGGAAGGTAGCAGCTGGTGGGTGCTCGACAGACAACCAAACAGAGCCTTCAACTTGACGTTGTGAAGTCTTCACATCATTGGTCCCCAGAGGTGTACAGTCGAGACGTTGCGGTAAGGACCGCCTTTTGCTCAGAAGGGGCTCTGGTTTTCGAGCCGTTCCCCAGACCTGATGCGTGGTCGAGGCTTGCGGTGGCCAGAAAAGCCCTTTCGCTCCAGATTCAGCGTGCCTGATGGCCGCACGTCGACTGCAGGCCCATTTCCTGGGACCGGCCTCTCGTTCCGAGGCGTGTGCTTCCGGCCCCGGGGCCCAGTGAGGGCCCACAGCCAGGGGCCGAAAGTGGTGCTGCAGTGATCGCTGTGACTTGCAGCAGTTGCAAGGTGGCTGCGTCCCACTTGCAGCGCACTCGCAGGTGGGCTTCGTGTCCGCCCAAGCGCTCCAGCTTGGGTCCGCGATTTCCAGACTCCGAGCAGGACTTGCAACCCACTTGCAGGCGCATTGCAGGTGGGCTGCAACCACCTTGCAACTGTTGCAACTGGTGCAAGTCGGACCGACTACCAAAGGGCCCCATCGAGAAGGGGCCTGGCTCCACCCCGGCGGCGCGCACGGGCGAGTGGGGCGGCCTGCTGAGAAGGCGGGGGGCTTCGTACAGGGCCCGATTTTTCTCATCCCCGATGACGGCCGTTGACGGTGGGGGAGGAAATGGGCGATGGAAGCCAGAAGCGGTACGATGGTTCAAACGGCAAGTTTGGCTCAAGGTTGAAGGTTTCGGGAAGCATTCCATGCCGTGCCCTCATTACTGTGCCCACCCCTCACGCTTCATCCGTCTCAGCCCTTCCGATTCCTTCTCACGTACCTTGATCTTCCAGGATGGGGAAGATGGGCGATATGGACCATCGTGTTTTTAGGGGCACACTGAAGTCAGCGATCGTTGAGACAGTCATAGATGAGATGAACCCTCTGGCAGATAACATCGACGGGTTGTCGAACACGGTGCATGAGCACAGTAATACATCGACCAGCCTCCAGAAGCAGTACGATGAGGCGCTGAGTTTCGCCAAGTCGAGAGGGGGTCGGGCAGTGATGCAGGTAGCTCGGGCGTGCCATCCGCTTTCAAACCTAACTTCTTTACGATCAATGAATTTTCTATTGGTGCCGAGCACCAGACCACGGACACTTCGTAAACGCACTGAAGGTGCAGGTCCCCGAGTCTGTGGCCTCCACGATGAAGGAATTCCAACTATTCGGAAGCCGCTCGAAGACTCGCACGCCATCGAAATCGCCAGAATTCGTGGATGAACCAGCCACCTACTACAACCAGGGTAAGTTGTGGACAAACGCCGAGAGGCCCCCCGCGGAACAGTTACACTACGAGAAGGTTGGCAAAGCCAATGGCTTTCCTTGACCACATAATCAAAGCCATCCTTATCCACCCAGACTCCTTCGCCTGGTGTTCGTACACGCCGCGCTGGATGCTCACATGCAAGATTGGGGAGGAGGTGGGGGAGATGGGTTACATCGGCCAGAACGGGGCTATGTGGTGGAACGAATTCAGCACTCACCAGGCTTTCGGACTGGACGGGGCGGGACTGAACAGGGAGATGTGGTCGTTTAAGCGGGCGTGAGACAACCCGTCATCAGAGGGTGCACCTGTTCACGTTGGTTACCTGGAGCACTTGTAAGAAGGGGCCGTCGACTTCCAGTTTACCGTTCAGATACTTCAAGAATATGGGCGAGATTCTGTAGCTTGCTTATCAAGGGTTCCAGCGTGAAGAACTATCAACGGTTTCACCTACAGCGGCCATGCCACTATGTTTTTCCTGCTTGTGATTGCGTCTCTATTATTCAAACAAGTCTGGATACTTATTTGCAAAGGCCTTACTTGTGGCGACTGTTGGTGTGATTTTGCCATCCACGGCACGGTTTTCATACCCGCGCATGTTTTCGACCACCTCGGAAACCATGGTCAGGCCAGCGTGGTGTCCCAGGGCGCCGTTCGCTATGTGCATCGAGTTCGCTTCGCTACCCAACACGTGCAGTTCAATTTTGTTGTGGGAGTTGATGCAAACGCCAAATTTCCGGCTTACCTGGGCACGTTGACTGGCCCGAGGGTTGTTGGCAGCAGAAATTCGCATCACAAAGGCCTTGTTCGTCTTACGTCGTGTTGGTTGGCCGCTCTCGGCGTGTGGGCGGACAACACCTCGCGAGAGATTTGGATAGAACGGGCCGAAGGCATGGGCCCGACCCGTCTCTGGACACGCGGCGTCCGACATCAGCCGGGAAACAGGTCTCAAATGGACTACTTGTGCACTTTTGCAGGCATGGTTGGATTCACAACGGATCAGCAATTCAGAACATATTCCATAGATCGGAGCACTTTTTGTCATCGGTACAAATCGTGTCTCGGAGATTGTGCAGCGTTCGTCGGTCTGGAAAGGGGGTGAAAGGCTGGAGACCCCTCGCAGAAGAGGGTCTGGCCAGCCTCCCCTTGTAGTGTTCACGATTTCGCGACTGCGGTTTGGCAGAAATGCCAAACTGCTTCTCCACACAGCCCAGACCATGGGCAACGATACCGGCGGGAAGCGGAGATCAGTGCAGGATGGATCGATCGGAGGGCCCGCGAAGCAGGTGCGGAGTCTGGTTGCAAATACTTTTGGGGCAGCCTGGCTGCAGGCCGTGAGCCAGTTCCGGAGGGCTTGTCGTAATGTTCGCCGGCGGCGTGGGGACAAGCAGTTGACCAGATTTCCCAAGTACAGAGCGATTGCAGATTAACGGGGATTCGACCGCGAACAGGGATATAGGCGCGATGGGCTGACAGTTTTGGGTGCCTGGCGATTCGTAACGAAACGAGCGACCACGATGCGCACGCCTAGCGCGTGGGAGATGCTGGGCTGCATTAGCTGGAACGCCAGGGTAATTGGCAGAGTTCCGCCTTCCCTGGAATTCTACAACGGTATCGCAGGCCGGGCATGGTTGACATGAAGTCTGGCGCAGCGTCGGGGCTTAACGGGGCGCAAGTGGAGATTTTCAAGAGATTGTCCTTATACCCCGTTTATGCAGTCTGGGGATTTTTCGTCCACGATACCAAAGACTCTGAGGACCCTCCCACTTGGAAACGCATCCATTGCAACGTCACCCCAAAGATTGCTAAACAGGTGGTGTTCGAGGAGTTTTGCTACACTTGCGCGTTGGATTGTTGTGGAAATTGGTGCGCCCATAGTTGCAATCCCGTTTTCGGCAGTCTGTGCCGTCCAGCTTAGTGGCGACATGTGGCTTCGAAGCTCGTTTCGCATGCGGCGATATCATTGCGATCGCGATCCAAACTGTCACTGTTGCCAGGCAGTGTGGCATGCCGTGGAAAATTGAAGCATTGGATATCAAGACAGCTTCCGATGCGATTTCCCCACGGACACGAATCACGAATCTGATCGGCTAAAGGTATTCACCCAAAGCTCGTTCGGGCGAATATACGGGAGATGTCAAACGTTTGTTTCTCCATGATTATAATGGGGATGCCAGCCAATGAGGCATTCCCCTTGAAGTCCAATGAGAGGCAGGGCGGCGTGTAGAAACCTGAACCTTTTTCAATTGCGTGACCGAGTCCGTGCTCGAACCCTTGGCCCGCAGCTGGCACAGCCGTAACATTGGAATGCTCTTCGATGCGATGGGCGCTGCCGCTATCGCACCTCATCTGGGCTCTCAATTTCAGCAATCTTGCGAGCCAGATCATGGTGCAGGGGCTGGCGAGCTGACGACAGCCCTTGCTGAAATCCTTTGCCGCTGGAAGCCAGATTCTGTGCGTTGCATCGTATGTGTCGCCCTCGCAGATGAGTGCGTGCAGCCGCCTGTCGTAACAGCGCCTGCGGCTGAAACTCCGCTCGCGATCTCGGTGGTTCCCCACTTGGTCCGACTCGGGGCTTTCATCACCGCCACAGCAGAGACAATGGACGCGTTGGACGCACTTGGGCATCGCTCACACCAGTAGTCAGAGGCACTAATTGGGAACACATCACACCATCTCGTGGTGGGTGCACGGTGAAATGAATTGCACGCCTGGTCGGTTGGGCCGTCGGCCAGTGTCCTTTTGGGTTCGTGCGCGTGGCGCACTAACAAGCAGTACCTCCGCAGAGTGCTCTGGCTCCGCCGCAAAGAAAATAAAAACTCAATGGCCGCTAATGCGCCCGCGCCGGTTTTGATCCCAAATTGGATGTACATGCGAAATATTTGCCCGATAAGCGCACGCGTGCCCAAGTCTGTTTTCAAGAAGGCACCGCGCGAGATGTCGCTGCCAAACAGTGCCGGAGCCGAACTTGTGATGACGATCTGGGTGTTCCGCGCCTCTGGCTGGTGGGAGAAGTGCAAACACTTTAGAGAGTACGAGACGGTTGCGATTGAGCCTGTTATTGGAAGCAAATTCTCGCATTGAGAATCTATGTTTTGTGATTTCTCGGCGTCGATCGGAGGAGTGTCCGCGACGTTTGCCCCATCCTGCAGGGGTGGGTGCGGCACTGCGATAACTTCAGTGCGTGGATCTGCCGCCAATTGGGATCTCCCAGTCATGGGGCGCGTTCTCGCGGTCGGGCAGTTCCACTCTCCATTCAAACGACTGAAGGGAGAAGGGATGCACGTTGGTGAACATTTGTCAACAGCACATGCAGCCGTAAACTTCCAAGATGTGCCGATCAAATAGGAGGCCCGCGCGTGCCTTCTTTTCATCACTTCTGGTTGTCAGCCGCTGGTTGATGTCATCATGGGGAGCATCCTCCTGGACGGCTCCGACCACTGCCGCATCTTCAACCGCATTTGCACCCGTTTGGTAAAACGATTCGACACTGGCGTCTTGCCCCACCAGCGCGGTCCTTGTCGCGTGGAGGTGCCGCGATCTCAATGCGAAAGCTGATCATTTAGCGAAGTTCACCATGGACGAAAAACGCTTTTGACATGCAACTTTTCCAGTAGCTGCCGGCCGCCAGCTCGGAGACGCGAATTTTGTCGTCCATTGCGGCGGCGGTCGCCGGGGCGACGCGCACACGCAGCTGCTTGCATCCTCGAGGCAGTTTGGCGGGGCGCTTCCCACATTGTCTATATGGCTGGCATTTCTGTTCGGGTGGGGTCGACGTCGTGTCCGTTTTCGTCGCTGCGGCCATGGCCTTCGACCAGGGCTCAGATTTATTGTCAGTTTCGCACAGCACCAGAACCCAAGATGACAACTGCTCTCCGACCCTCGATTGCTGGCTGCGCACGGCCTTCACCTGCGCCGAAAGACGAGAAAGAACGTCACGATTCGCGCCAGCGCCGTCTGGGAGTTCGCTACCCCTACCCTTTCCCAAACCGCGTGGGCGCGAACCCTGGCCTTACCACGTGGGTGGGAGGCATCCCTGGTGCCTGCCATTTCCGCGAAACGTCGAATACGTGTTTTCAGACAGCTCTTAGAAGGCATGCCTTCCTCAGTAGGTCCGGGAGGCTTCCATCAAGTTTTCTAAAAGACCGGATCGGCCTCAAAGATGCCCCTTGCCTTTTTGAGTCGCGCAAGCCTTGCGACCCCCATCGCGCCGCGCTGGCCGTGACGATGTAGACCGTTTTAGGCGGATCCTGAGAGGCTTCCACCACAAACTCAAAGGGGGTTATGCGGGGGTCTTTTCCCCATAGGCCGAGTCCTAGTGTAGATCCTTGCCCTGCCCCTTCTCCCTGAGGTTACCTGCAGGGCGATTTCGAGGGGAAACAGGAACGATGCAAATACGTACGCGCACATGAACTCTCACGGGGAACAGCGCATCACGCGTCCGCTCCGTGCTAGCAGGGTTGTTCCGCGATGTTGGGCGCGTGTGTACGTGGTCGGGCGCGCCCGCACCTTTTTTGGGATGCAGCTGGAGGGAAGTCAGACCCATAATCGGCGCTGGTATAGCCCTGGTCGAAAACCAGCACCATACTTTTCAATCTTGGTTAATAGTGTTTGATCCTTCGTGCGTCTGGGCTTCATGTGGCCTCATCCGGCGAAGTTCCCCCCCTCTTTCGGGCGTCGCAGATAGCCCTTAGTCGTTCTCGCGGAAACCTCCCCGATGTTGCCTCTTCTTCCTCCTGGAGTGACGGGTACAGGTGGAGGAACATCGTCCCCACTCCCCTTCTCCCGCCTCCCATCCCCCCCCGCGACCCGTGGCGACTCGATTCTTCGAGTCACCAATGCCTGCGTCCCTCGACCCACGCCCTGGGGCAATCTGCCACCCTTACTTTTTTGTTGTTGACGGTCCCGGGCGCCTGTTTCACCAGATGATGACTTCTGCGCAGCGCCAACGGCGGATGCCCAGGAGGGCCTCTACGCGCAGAAGTCCAAGCTCTTCCGGCAGCGCCACGGGCGGTGAGCAGAGCCCATAGGCTTTCGGGCGCGGGCTGGGCGCGGGGTGCGGTGGCCCTCGGCGGACGACGTCGCCGCCGCCGCCGTCGCCAATCGAGGTTCGAGGAGCATCGAGGCTCGAGGTTGTCGATCGTCGATCGGGGTGGTGTGGTGGTGGTCGATCCGCCGCGCCAGGAGCGAGCAGCATCGACGATCGAGTTTTTGGGCGTTCTGAGGGGCCCTCTTGGGCCTCCCGGGGCTCCTCCCTTGTCGCCGCGGCTTGGCCCGCCTCGAAGTCTTGCCAGGATGGGCCCTACCGGAGGTTCGTCGAAGTCCTGCCAGAAAGTGTCGCCTGTCATCATCGTCGTCGTCGTCGTCGTCGTCCAATGATCAAGAATCGATTGGGGGCTCCAGAAGCTTTCGGGAACCACCAGAGGCCTTCATTGGACTTCCACGGACCGACGGATGATGTCGCCGTCTTGTTTGAAGGATACTTGCGAGGATGCGGACATGTCTTAGAAGGGCGGGGGAATGAGGGGCGCCACGCCACGGGGGTGCAAAGAGTATTCAGGGGTCCAAGGCAGAAGGTTCGCGAGGGGTGTGTTTCAATAAGTGTTGTTTGCAGTTCATTTTTACTTGCATAATTTACTGTTTGCATCTTTTGCAGGGGCTACTAAAGGTCGCTGAAGGCCACTAAAGGTCGCTAAAGGCAACTAAGGCGGTTAAACGCCACAAAGGCCGCTGACAGGTTACAACAGGCCACTCATATTTCAGTCAAGGCCGCTAAAGGCAACTAGAGGCTACTAAACCGAGGCGGTGTATGTTAGAATGAGCCTCCCAAAAGACTCACCCAAGGATGTATGGGGGGGATGGAACAGCGGTAGGTGCAACAGGAGGAAGGGGAGAGGAAGCAGGGGCACGATCCAGAGCGGGAGGAGCGGGGAAGGCTTTCGGGCGAAACGGGGGTGAGGGGTGGAGTTCTTGGCGGGCCAATGGCTGGGGAAGGGGATCCACAGGAGAGGGTGGGAGGAAGGAGAGAGGGAGGGAGGGAGGGGGAGGATGACAAGCTAGGTGCGCTCGCGTCATATCTGACGTCCTACCCCTCCCTCCCATCCCTTACCACGGCGTAGGTCTCCTCGCTATTCGCACAGTCGAATGTCGAAGATCAACATGTAAGCTGACATAGCATAGCGTGGCGACGCTCCAAAGTGGGGGGGGCTTCTGCGGCCAAACAATTCAACGAATCGACACCGAATGTGGAATCACTTCCGATGGTTTTTTCGGGGGGGGGGGCATTCTCTAGATTTTGGGACCTACTTGGAAGGACCGAACCCATGCCGTGGCATGGCGCTGGAAATCATGGCGGCAGCGCTGCAACGGGAGCACGATTCGGAACGAGCAGAAGCGCGGAAACGAGGCCAGCGCTGCAGTGGGAGCACGATTCGGAACGAGCGGTAGCCCGAAAATGAGGCCAGCGCTTCATCGAGAGTTGCACTTTCGGGGTAAAAAGAAAACCAAGCGCGGAAAGCGGAAATGAGGACGCGTAGCCTGACGTAGCATGGCGTGGCGACGCCCCAAAGTGGGGGGGGCTTCTGCGGCCCAACAAAAGCAACGAATCGACACCGAATGTGGCATCACTTCCGATGGTTTTTTCGGGGGGGCATTTTTTGGATGTTGGCATGCCGTGGCATGGCGCTGGAAATCATGGCGGCAGCGCTGCAGCGGGAGCACGATTCGGAACGAGCGGAAGCGCGGAAACGAGGCCAGCGCTGCAGTGGGAGCACGATTCGGAACGAGCGGTAGCCCGAACATGAGGCCAGCGTTTCAGCGAGAGCAGCATTTTGAACAAGAGCCAAGCGAGAATGCGTTTCCTGGGAATCGTGTGTAAAACACCAGTACGCGGATGGGGGCCGAATCTTTTCGGGTCGCCACCAGGGGAGAGAGGAGAGTAGTATTCATGTTGTGTAATTGTAGAAGGTTGAGGAAGAGCAGCAGCGACCGGAGTGAGCATGACGACGAGCATGATAGGTAGGGGCGGAGAGGGGAGATGATGATGCTGATGGTGATGATGATGACGATGATGAGGAGATGGATGAAAAGGACTTTCAGATACTGCTGAGGCGCTATACACGGACGCTCTTGCGGTCACGGTTATCATGCATGCCGTTGTTCCGTGGCCTTCCATCAGCGGAAATGTGAGCAACGTGTTCAACACGGCACAGCTGAAAGGCGCCATGAAGATGATGTTCTTCATAATCAAGAAGCAGCGGTCTGTATTAGGGCTTGTAGGTTCCCGACTGGAACAGTGATAGTCATCGCCCGTTTCAGACGCCTAGGCAGGATATTGGTCTTGTGTGCGAATCACTGTTGGCGCTGCCTGGAGGCACAGGGCAGCTGGGGAAATACGCTGCAGAAAGACACCTGGTGTGTACTTGTCTTGGCACAGAACCCAGCGACATTCCAGGCGTTGGGACATTGTTCGACTGGCTCCCGCAGGCACGTGACGACCCAAGAGCATATCGAGCAACGGCGGATGCGGCAATTCGCAAAGCTAGACCCTATTTGGTAGACCAAGTCTGGGGGGATAATGTTGGGAGCATCCGAGAAAAATCTGCGGCACGCCACTGGACCTTGGATGTGACGACCTTCCCGAGATAAATGTTTGCTATATTTGTGGGCATGTTGCGACCCCCCCCCAATTTGTTTGATATCCACACTAGCAAGCTCCATAGAACGGCTAGATATCCAGCCGAGCTGGTGACGGGACCGTACTGTTTGATTGGGCACGGCCGATCGGAATAATGGAAGGGGGGGCCACGAGGGGAGGGGGGGGTGGCACGTTTGGCCAGAATAAAGGGAGAGTGGCGGGGGGGAGCCAAGGCCCACACATCCCAACACCCCCAGCGCACACCGACACATGCCAGCACACATCCTAGCACACCCAGGGGGGCCACGGCCAGCACGTATTCCAGCACATCACAGCCGCATCCCAGCCCCCAGCGCACATCTCAGCACGTGCGACATATCCCTGCACGCCGATCCCAACACACGGATCCCAGCACGCCGAGGCAGTCGACCGACACATCCAAGCACACCCAGGCACGGTCAGCCGAAATAGTGCAGCGCGAGATGACACTAGCAGATATGGTAACGATTATTCTGTACAAGTGAGAAGTCAACAACGGCTCTTGCCTAATACTTACTCACAACTTATTTCAATGTGCAAACTCGTGCGGGACTTGTTCACAATGTATTCATGAATTGCGATTTCGCGCGGGGCGTCCTCGCAATTCATTCAGACGCCAGGCCCTCGACTTTCAGGAATTACGCTTTCACTTTGGCCTTGTTCCTGAGTTACTTTGAAATCGCGCTACCGCTCGAGACATCATCGCGATTCATGCAGGACGCATCCTTCAGCAACCCGCCTGCTCGACCTGGCCGCCCGGGCCCGCCTTCCCGAACCGCCTGTTAGGGTCAACCCGCCCGATCTGCCCAAATGGTCCTCCAATGTACTTTCTGCTCCCAGCCCACCTTATGCTACTCTCTCTCTCTCTCGTGCTCCATCCTTCTCCCTCCGCTTTAATCCGTCCTCCCTTACTCATGTTTTAAGGCCTGCACCAATTACGCGTGACAGGAAAGGAAGACATACCCCCAAGGAGTTACGATCGAAGGCGAACAGAGCGGAGATCGAAGGTTTGGGACATGAGTGTCAGAAGACACGCGAGCAGGTAAGAGCGACCAGCCTTAACATGATTGTTGCTGTATCTGCTGTTGCTGGTGTTGCATAATCACTTCGAGAGAATAACTATTGATCTCTTGAAACTGTTCCGCGCGCTCTCGCCTCGACGCCGGCCATATGTTCTGTGAAAACGAGGCTCCCGCGCGAGCGTTGGCTTGAGTCTAAGTGTGGGCCCTTGGAGGCCCAGCTACGAGTACAACGGTTCCCGCTCGATATTTCCTCACAGTGCACCCCGAGACACCCTGGCCAGGAAAGCCCCGATTTCAGGAACGGCGCTATCGCTCGAGACTTCCTCGCAATTCAGTCAAGTTGACGGAGGCCCAGCCACGACGACAAGGGCTCATGCTCGATTCTCCCCCACGATTTACTCCGAAAGCCCTTGGCCAGGAAAGCCCCGAACTCAGGAACGGCGCTCTCGTTTTAGTTTTTTTCGTAATTCAGGCAAGTTGGCGGAGGCCCTGCCACGGCGACAAGGGCTCCTGCTCGATAATTCTCCAGGAACCCCTCGAAATCAGGAACGGCGCTCTCGCTCGAGTTCTTTTTCGTAATTCAGGCAAGTTGGCGGAGAGCCCAGGCACGGCGACACGGGTTCCCGTTCTATATTCTTCCATCGGTATTCAGAGAGAGAGAGAGAGAGAGAGCCCCTGGCCAGAGATGCCCCCGAACTCAGGAACGGCGCTCTCGCTCGAGACATCCTCGCACTTCAGTCAGTGGCCTGGCCGACAAGGAAGAGATTCCCACCGAAAGGGGGTGCAATCGAAGACGAAGTGGGCGGGTATCGAGGGTTGGGGGTATACAGAATGCAAGACGCGCGTGCCAGTAAGATTGATCAGTCCTAACAATATTGTTGTTAATATTGTTTTCTGAGAATCTCACAGTTGAATAAGATATGTTGTCGATCCACCCTCCGGGGAGTGTGGTACTCTTTCAATTGAAGTTCCCATCTTGGGGCTTGTACCTGTTTTATCTATCACGGAAGGTCTTAAGTTTCAAGCTTGGGCTTTTGGCCCCCCGAGTCACAAGAACATGTATGTTGTGATTGTTCGTTCTTATCTGCTCGAGTGTCATTCAACGTGTATTTCCCGAACCCTCGATACCCGCCATCTTCGTCTTCGATCGTACCCCTTTTGGGGGTTATATATTGCTGTTCTGCAGGCAGGGCCCTGGCAAGCGGCGGGGCGGCCGCGGACCGTCGGCCTGGGACCGACCGCGACGACGACGACGACGACCACAACGGCCACGATGACGGCGACGGCGACGACGACGAGCGAAAGCGAAAGCGAAAGTGAGAGCGAGAGCGACAGCGGGGCCACGAAGGGCAGGAAGGGGGCCACGAAGGGCGACAGCGGGGCCACGAAGGGCATGCGTATGGGGCCACGAAGGCCGCGAACGAGCGATGGCCACGGAGGGCAGATAATGCGGGGCCACAGAGGGCAGCGACGGGGCCACTTAGGGTAGCAACGGGGCCACGCAGGACAGCGATGGGGGCCAGAAAGGGCGACAGCGGGACCGCTAAGGGCATGCGCATGGGGCCATGACGGGCGCGAACGAGCGGGGGCCACGAAGGGCATGCGTAGATTGGGCCGCGCAGGGCAAGGGCGGGGCCACTGAGGGCAGCGAGGGGCCCCGAAGGGCAGCAAGGGGGCCACGAAGGGCGAAGGCGGGGCCGCGAAGCGCATGCATATGGGGCCACGACGGGCGCGAAAAAGCGGGGACAACGAAGGGCATGCATATATGGGGCCACGGTGGGCAGCGAGGGGGCCACGAAGGGCTGCATCGGGGCTACGAAGGGCAGCGATGGGGGGCACGAGGGGGTGCAGCGGGGCCACGAGGGGCATCGAGGGGGCCACGAAGGGCAGCAACAGGTCCACGAAGTGCAGCGAGGGGGGCCACGAAGGGCTGCAATGGGGCCACGAAGGCAGCGAGGGGGCCACGAATGGCTGCAACGGGGCCACGAAGGCAACGAGGGGGCCGCGAAGGGCTGCAACGGGGCCACGAAGGGCAGCAAGGGGGCCACGAAGGGCTGCAACGGGGCCACGAAGGGCAGCAACGGGGCCACGAAGGGCTGCAACGGGGCCACGAACGGCAGCGAGGGGGGCCACGAAGGGCAGCGAGGGGGCCACGAAGGGCAGCGAGGGGGCCACGAAGGGCTGCAACGGGGCCACGAAGGGCAGCGAGATCCCGATACTTAAGTAAGCTGTGAGGGAATCCTAAGAGTGAGCACTTCTGTGTGCATGAGTGTTGGGAGCGCGCCTTTTGAGTAGATTGCGAGGAGTTCCATCGCAAGAGCGCGATTCTTGAGCACATTGCAAGCAAGTTTCCAGCGAGAGCGTGACTCCAGAGCGCCGAGAGAGCGATTCCTGAATTCGCCGGCCCAACGGGCCAGAGGCGTGCTAAGATCTCCGGTAAGTGCTTGACAATGTTTCTGCTTAGCGCGCGCGGGGCGGCCCCTGGGGGTCCCCAGAAGAAAAGTAGTCCGGGCGAAGCCCGGGCGCTGCGGATCAAAAATGGTTTTCCTCCTGGGCGCCACCTTCGGGGCCGCCCAGAGAACCTTACGACAGGCAGCGAGGCCTCCAAGAGCCTTTCAAGATGATCACTTCGATTGAAGAAACACAATGGTCACCGGAAGGTGGGATCATTCTTTAGTAGTTCAACGGCTCAAGCCGGATATTTCTTCATAAGTTATTGTAGTGGCTTTCGGCCAGTGCCGCCGATTTGGGTTGCTTGGGGTGCCCCCCAGACTGGGCGGTGAGACTTCGCAGACAGACGCGCACGCACACGCTCGCAGACGCGCACACATCACGCACACACGCACACACACACACGCACACATACACAAACATATACACATACACATACACATACACACCCCCACACACACACACGCACGCACGCGCACACACACAAACACACATACACGCACACACGCACTCACACAGACACACACAGACCCACACGCGCACGCACACACACGCACACACACACACGCACACAATTCACACGCCCACGGACACACACACACTCACACACGCGCGCCACCTTCGCAGGCACATGCACACGCACACGCCGGCAACACGTACACACACCACGCACACCGCACAATCACACACACACGAAGACACATACACACATTAGCACACACAACAAGTACAAGTACACATGCAACTGCACATACACATACACATACACATACACATACACATACACATACACATACACATACACATACACATACACATCACATACAAATACGCATACACTTACACATACACATACCCATACCACATAACAGACACGCAGTTCACCGCCACCTTCGTTTCCCCCCATGTGCTATCCGTTTTCTGCTCTTGTCCCGTTCCACTTCTCTCTCTCCCTCTTCCCCCGATTCCCTTCTCGCGTACACGGACAAACATTACCCCGCGTACGCGCGCACACCTCCCCCTCCCCTCCTTCCCCGGCAACGCCTCCAGAGGCTGAAGCTCAGCCTCGAAGCTGCAGCCAAGGTTCCTTCAGGCTCACACGCCACGCACCCCCCCTTCCCCTCCCCCACGCCATTGGAACCCACGCCGCCGGACCCCCACTCCCCCTCTTCCCCCAATACTCCCTGTACACAGGCGGGACGGGAGACCGATCCTCCCCCCCCACGCCACCAGAACCCACGCCGCCAGACCCCCTCCCCCCTACCCCGGCAGAGCCGCTCCGGCCCCCCCTCCTCCCCAGGCGGGGCGGGGGACCAGACCCCCCCCCCCACGCCACCGGAACCCACGCCACTGGACCCCCCGCCCCTCCCCCCACCCTGGCAGAGCCACTCCGGCCCCCCCCCTTCACCAGGCGGGGCGGGGGACCAGAGCCCCCCCCCCACGCCACCGGAACCCACGCCACTGGACCCCCCCCCCTCCCCCCACCTTGGCAGCCATTGGAACCCACACCACTGGACCCCCCCCCCTCCCCATCCCCTTTACCCCGGCAGAGCCACCCCGGTCACCCCCTCCCCCTTGAACTCACACGCTGGATCGGCAGATTCCCAAATCGGGCTCTCGCGCGGGACGTCCTCACAATGTACGCATACATCGCGCACTTGCGTAAGACTTCCCCGCAATCTATTCAGACGCCGCGCCCTGGACACTCAGGAATCACGTTCCCGTTTTGGTTCATGTCGTTGTGGAGTCGCGCTATCGCTCGATACCCGCAATCCATGCGTGATCCACTGTTCAGCAACCCGCCTGCTCGACCTGGCCGCGTGGGCCCGCCTTTCCGCCCCGCCTGGTAGGGTCTACCCGCCCGACTTGCCCGTCTGGTTTTGTCACATGTTTTCTGCTCCCAGCCCCCCATTTGCTATTCTCTCTCGTGTTCCATCCTCCTCTCTCCCCTCTTGTCCTTTTCTTCCATCCGTCCTCTCTTCCCCTGCTTTAGGGGCTGCACACAATAGACGCTGCAGGTAAGAAAGACATATACCATATACCCCAAAGGGGTGCGATCGAAAACAAAAGGGGCGGGTATGCAGGGTTTGGGGTATGCGTGCTGAGTTGCCCGCAAACAGATACGGGCGAACAGTCTTCAACAGACCGTTGTTGCTGTTGTTGTTGCTGCGTTGTCGTCGTCCTCGCCCGCGACCCGCCCGCGACCCACCCGCGGCCCCTACCGCGACACAGCCCGCGACCCACCCGCGACCCATCCGCGACCCAAGTGGCGCCCGCCCCCTCAGTCGTATCCGCTTCTGAGGGTGTGATACGGTGTATAGGACCCTTGCGGAGAAGCTGTTTAGGGACAAGCTGCAACGCACGCATTTCAGGGGAGAGGAGGAGGTGGTCTGGCAATACGAGCACGTTTGTTAGGATGCAATTGCCTGAAGGTCAAATTCTGAATCGGCGCTGGGATATACCTGGTCGACAATTCGACTAGTCCTGTTTCGTCTCGCTAGGTCTGGCTAAATCCCGCTTGCTCCGGCTTGATCCCGCCAGTCCCTTTTAGACCCTGGGCTAAATCTGGCCTGCTCCGGCTAAGTGGCCCTTCGGTCGGGCTTGCTAGCTTTCCATCGTTTTCACGAAGACCTCCCAGGGCTTGCCTCCGAATGTATGACGCATCGTGCGCGAGCCTGGAGCGCGCGCCGCCGTGCACGCTGACAGTGCCTGGGGCGCTGCTTGCCTGCGCGCAGGAACTGTGCGGGCGCCGCGCCGCGGGCAGCCGGCCCTCCCCGCGCCGTCGGCTCCCGCCTCGCACCTCTCCGGGCCTCCTCTCGTCGTTAGAAAAAAGGCGGCGCGCCGCGTGCAGCATCTTCGAGGACAAAAGCGCCCTAACCTTCACAACGCAGTGAAGGCGTAGCCTAACTTAGGTTCCCGACTCTGCATGCGGGATAATCGATCTGGGTGGCTTCGTTTGGTGCACCTCTTGAATCTGTTGAGAAGCCCCCCTATGCGTAATTGTTTGGGCCTGCTAACTTCGGTGCGCTCCCAGAGGGTTAGGGGACTCTTCGTTGCGAACCAGCAGGTAGAGGAAAAGACGCGCGTGCGGGCAGGGCTCATATTGACTCCTCCGACTCGGTTCGATTTCGATTTCGATTTAGACTTCGCCTCCGATTCCGATTCAACCTCGGATTCCGATTTGGATGTCGGTGTCTCATCGGAGGCCTTGCAAGCTTGACGATTTCCGCCGATTCGACTTCTCCCGACTTGCCTGCCGACGTCCATGGCCTCCTCTCGTCGTTGACAATATCTGTATCGGCGGCCTCGCGGGCCATGCCCCTTGGCCGCGACCCCGCGGAGACATGGGGCGCTTTTTCGCGGATGCTCCGCGCGGAGTGTATCCGTGCGACCGCCCATCCGCGGCATCGCGCTCCGGAGTCCAGGCCCCGCCGGTGCGGATACTGATGCTCGCCCCCCTAGGCCCTCTCGCGTCGTAAAATTGGAGCGAGCCGCGTGCAGCAGAGGGAAGAAGGAAGCGCGCGCGCGGGGGAATGGGGGTCCAAGGTTCGGGGATGGTTTTTGTTTCGGAAGAGGTGTTTTCCGGGAGGCCTCCCGGGAGAGCCTCCGGGAGGCCTCCCCGGGAACCGTCACTGGTCTGAGCCTGCTGGGGACAGTCCTCTCCTCGCGGGCCGTTCGGGAACCGGCCCGGAAGCCTGCTCGGCTGCTCGTCGCCACAGCTGGATTCCCCTGGACATTCTGGGCAGACCGCTCCGCAGGACAGGTCCAGGATTCGACTGCTGACCCCATGACCCGAACCTTCTTGTGACGCGAACAGAATTACAACGGGACGTTATTGCCGACTTGTTCGGCCTCCAGGGGCCTTGCCCTGGAGTCCCTGGACTGTCAACAGTCAACAGAGAAGCAGTTCGGGATTAGGAGACGCTCCCGGGGAGCCATCCAGGGGGCCCACGTTGCAACAAATAAGCAACGTAGGAGGTGTGGGCTTCGCTCCTCCTCCTGCTGCTCCCCATCTTGCTGCTTCTCTCCCCTCTGCTTCAGTAGCAAGTCATGGGAGCCGCGTACACCTTCGCAATTCCTTTTTTTGAGTGCGCCTGCGTCGATTAGTGTCTGGTGGTCGATGAGATAGCGCCGATTCAGGGCCGACCAGTGTCGATTAGCGACAATGTAGCACCGATTTAGCGTCGATTTGCGTTGACTAGCGTCCATCCGCAAGAGCCAACATGATGGTGCGGTAGGCTTCCATGGGTTGCTGCAGAACTCCGCGCTGCTGCTGCTCGTCCTGCTGCTCCCCCCCCTCTGCCGACCTCCTCGGCCCGCTGCGGGCTCCTTTTCGCCGGCTTCTCTTCACGGCTCGGGTGCCGCCTCGGCCGCGTGCAGGGGGGGACCATGGGGCCCATCGCGCGGGAAGGTCGTCGGGCGAGGCCGCGGGTGGCCAAGCTTGGCTCGCGGCCCTGATTTCGAGTTTTTGTTGGGGGGGCGGGGGGCCTTTTTCGGCCTGAGGGGGTCGTGTTCGGGCCCTTGGACCGTCAGCACTGGATCTGGAGCGAAAGACTGCAGCAGAGGCGGACCCCGGGAGGGGTCCGGGTCTGGGGACCGATGTTGAGCGCATTTGGCTTCGTCCCCTTCCTTTCTGATTGATTCTATGGGATCCCAGCCCCCTGGGCTGCCTTCAAGCGGGGGGACCAAAACAGGGAAGTCATGAGGGCCTGCTGAGCAGAGCTGGTCTCGGCCCCGCCGCCAGGCGCTTTCCTCGATATCTCTGGCGCTGGGAGGCGCCAGGGAAATCAGCTACGTGAGCTGATTCGCTAACCCCCCCTTGACTGGCCCTTCATTTCGTTCGGCCCGACTTAGGCAGAAGTGAGAGGGGGATAGGCCCAGGGGGGGAAGTCGAGAGCATCGATGCCCAATCCCGAAGGAGGAAAGCCAACATCGGCACAAACATAAGCTTCGGAGGTCCGCTCGGGTTTCTCGGTTCGGAGCTGGACCTCCGACCTCCCCTGGCGGCGCCTCTGGCGTGGTGCAGTTTCGCCAGCGGGAGCCTGTCGCCGATGTATAGGCAATGAGTCACCAATTCCAAGTCACTGTTCCCTCCCAGAGGCAGTCCTCCCTTGTCGAACATGTAGTGGTGTGTGTGTGTGTTTTTGGTGTGTGTGTGTGTGTGTGTGTGTCCGTCCAGCGCGCGTTCGGGCCGTATCGGGCAGATGTGCTTTGTATCTGGGTGAAACCGAACGTAAGTCGGGAAGGTTTCGACTGGTCCGCGTCCGTTGTGGCCTCCCCTCCGCCTTCTCCAAGGTCTTCTCACCCTTTGCCCTCCCCCCCTATTGTTCAACCCGAGGAGGAGGAGGAGGAGGAGGAGGAGGAGGAGGAGAAAGAGGAGAAAGACGAGGAGGAGGAGGAAGAGCAGGAGGAGGAGGAGAATGAGGAGACGGAGGAGGAGGAGGAGGAGGAGGAGAAGGAGGAGGGGGAGGGAGGAGGAGGGAAAGGAGGAGGAGGAGGAGGAGGAGGATAAGGAAGAGGAGGAGGAGTTCCTGCTTTGTCCGCTGCTCCTGCTCCTCGGCGCACAGCGCGGCTGGCCGAAGACTCGGCACGGAACGGGGGCTGGCGCGCGAGGGCCCCTCGGTTCTGGTGCTCCTCCCTCCTCCCTCCTCCTTCCTCCCTCCCCCTCCCTCCCTCCTCCTCCTCTCCTCCTCCTCCTTCTCCTCCTCCTCCTCCTCCTCCTCCTCCTCCTGCTCTTCCTTCCTCTCTCCCCCCTCCCCCCACGTTCGTGAAGGTTTTCCCCGACCTTGCGGAGGGGCTCTGGGGGGGGACCCCCCGGGGCATGGCCTGGGCCACGGGCGGAACACTGGCAGGAGCCTGCAGAAAACGGCCCTATTTCGGCAGACGCGCTGACGGGCGGCATGGGCGGCTCCAAGATGTTTCGCAAGATGGTCGAAGAGGGACAAGAGTCGCCGACTGATCGGTCCAAGCCGTTCAAGATGGCCTCCATATGGCCCAGTAAGCCCCCGAGACGCCAAGGGAGGCCTGCAAGAGGCTCCCCAAAACAGCCCCAAGAGTCAAACCACATTGATTTTCTTATGGCTTTTGAGCGTTTTCCGCGTTTTCGCCTTTTCGGCTTCCCGACGCTCCACGACGGCCCAAGAGGCCCCGAAGATCGCCCTATGATGGCCCAAGAGGCCCCCACGAGGGCAACCGCATGGCCCAAGAAGCTTCCAACAAACAAAAAACCTAAAAGGCTCCAGGATTGCCCCAAGAGGGGGCCAAACGAGGGAGCACCGACCAATATGTCTTCCAGCTCTCCGCCCAGAGAGACCCCCAGGATGCCCCAGGAGGCTCCAGGAGCCCCCAAGAGGCCCCAAGAAGCGTCCAAAAGGCCCCCAGGAAGCCCCCTAGAGGCCCCGAAGACTGCCCAAGAGGGCCCCAAGATAGCCAGAAACGCCCCGACAAAGCGGCACAGCTTCAAACGGACAACACGGGAACCAGCATAATGTGCCATCATCTTCGTTGTTTCCTTTTTCACGCAAGTCACGCCCATCTGTCCTCCAAGGTCGTGGTTCGTGACAATATCAAGTTGTTGTTTTGGCTTGTTTCCGCTTGTCCATCGACATGTTCGCATGTCCATCGGTTGCGCTGGTCGCCCCAGGCCCGTCGGCCGCCCCTAAATTCGCTCGGCCCCTCGGCTGGCCCGTTCCCAGGCTAGGTTTGGTTGTTTTGGCTTGATTTCGCTTGTCCATCGATTGCGCTGGACGCCCCAGGCTCGTCGGCCGCTCCTTTGTCGCTCGGCCCTTGGCTGCCCCGTTCCCAGACTGGTGTTGTTTTTTTTTTGCTTGTTTCCGCTTGTCCATCGGTTGCACTGGTCGTCCCCGGCTCGTCGGCCGCCCCTCAGTCGCTCGGCCCCTCGGCAGGCCCGGTCCCAGGCTGGTCTTGGTTGTTTTGGATCGTTTTCGCTTGTCCATCGGTTGCGCTGGTCTCCCAGGGCCCGTCTGTCGGCTGGCCCCTTCCCGGGCTGGTTTTGGTTGTTTTGGCTTGATTTCGCGTGTCCATCGGTTGCGCTGGTCGCCCCAGGCTCGTCGGCCGCCCCTCGACCGCTCGGCTGCCCCGTTCCCAGGCTGGTGTTGTTTTTTTGTGGCTTGTTTCCGCTTGTCCATCGGTTGCACTGGTCGCCCCGGGCTCGTCTGCCGCTCCTCGGTCGCTCGGCCCCTCGGCTGGCCAGTTCCCAGGCTGGTTTTGGTTGTTTTGGCTGGGCTTCGCTTGTCCATCGGTTGCACTGGACGCCCAAGGCTCGTCTGCACTGGTCGCCCAAGGCTCGTCGGCCGCCCCTCGGTCGCTGGGCCACTCGGCTAGCCCGTTCCCGGGCTGGTTCTGGTTGTTTTGGCTTGTTCTCGCTTGTCCATCGGTTGCACTGGTCGCCCTGGGCTCGTCGGCCGCCCCTCGGTCACTCGGCCCTTAAGCTGGCCATTTCCGTGGCGTGGTTTGGTTGCTGTGGCTTGTTTTCGCTTGTCCATCGGTTGCACTGGTCGCTTCCGCTGGCCTGTTCCCTGGGGCGGCCACAGAGCAGCGCAACCGATGGGCACGCGGAAACAGACCAAAACAACCAAAACCAGCCTGTGAACGTGCCAGCCGATGGGGCCGAGCGACCGAGGGGCGGGCCCGGGGCGACCAGCGCAACCGATGGACAAGCGAAACAAGCCAAGCTACGGGCC